TCCGGCCGACCGTCTTGCCGTGTTCCTGCAGGGACACTTAAAAGCACTAATTAGTGAGGATCGCCCTCCACTGCGATGGAACATGGAGTCAGAAGTGCTACCCGTCCGTCCTACCCGTCTAAGATCTGCGTCCGAGAGGATCTGGTATCTCGTCCTGCTTGTCTCCCACGGTACGGGGCATTTTGTCCCTTGACACAAGACTGTGAAGAGGTAACAGGATACTTTTTACTACTTTGGTACATTGTTCTCCGGAATGCGGTGTGCTGGTACCCAGAAGACCCCTGTTGCCATGTACCGCTACCACGACTGGTTACGGTAAGCGTCGCCAATGCCTCTGCCAACACACCGCTCTTCTCTGTCGACTAAGTACCTTGTCCCTGGACACCTAGACTGCCATGCTGGTCAAGTCCATGCAAGACTCATTCCTGTCCTGCTCGGAGGGACATACCCGCCCGCACCAACCGCACCAACTGCGCGCCGTCCCTTCGGCTTCCCTCTCCAGATATTTGCCACTTTCTCTCTCGTCTTCCCACTCCCAAACCCCAGCCCCTACCTTGACACGCTTCTTTACTTTCTTCTTGACCACTCCACCTATGCCCTCGATCTCCTGCTGGAAATACCCAGGCTTGTTACTGCCATACGCCGAATCTGGTGTGCCAACTCGGCTGAGACTGTTCCTCTCCGGATCGGACGCGTCATGCGCCTTGCCCTCAGAACACTCGATTTCCACCCAACATATAGCTTTCCCGCTCATCTCGAGGCAATCTTCTCCACGGCCGCATTTTTGAGCTTGATTTCCCAATCCCAATCCTGTTCCTAACCCGTCACCAATGTGCGTCGAGTACCGAGAACGCCAGGTCCACACCCTTTTGTAAGTCGTGTCAGCTGCCCGCAGACTCTGCCCACATGGTGCACATAAAAACACCCCACGAGTCTCGCAGGTGCAGGGACCCCGAAGAAATGCTGAAGAAGTAAAAGACCGGTGCGAGCAGGTGTCTAATTCGTTTTTCTCCAGACCTATAGAGGTGTCCGGTGTAGATGAGCTGGAAGCTGACCGCTCGGACCTCATCGAACTCGCACTGGACACTGGTTGACTTTCGCTGGCATCGTCAGCAGAGCTAAGGGCTTGCAGATGCGCTTCGATTGGGGCGTCAAGACACGTCTTGCAAAGGCGGCGAAAGCGGTCCCTCAGTCTCGCAGTGCTGGGAGATTTGGCAGCGCAGTTACGGCATACAACTGTTCCGCATCGACGACATGGGGCCACCAAATCTCGAGCACAAGAGCTGATCTTGCTTGTAACACCCATCGAAGCATAGAGGCCCCCAGTATGGAGTGAATTTTCGGGACTTTGTGCCAGGGTAGTACTCCCAGAGAACTCTTCGGTATATGTTCTTTCTCTTTGTGCCAAGAGTGCTTCTGCTAGAACTGGTCTTTCGTCATGGATGCAACGCAGAGACTCAGACTTGAGTTGACGCGCATACTGTGTCAGGCCGTTGTGGACACTTCGACAGGTGGACGCGAGGGCGTCCAGATCATTGAGATCCAGATGAGAGGACAGGGAGAGAGCAATACTAATAGATCCGGAAGGTTAGTAGGTAGAGGGGGTCCATGCGAGTACGTGTCTGCGCCTACGGATAGCATGTCACTGCAGCAGCCAGTTTGTTGGCTGTTGTTGACGGTACTTGTGCACTGTCAATGCCAGAAACGCGGCTCCCTCCACCCGTGCCTCCAGTGGTAGCAGGTTTCAACTGATTTTGCTGGGATGACTTGTCCGTGTCAAAGCGCGATCGATCGCTGGTTGAGCAATCGTCGTCGTCAAGATCGAAGAACACTGCCATGTCGCCATTTGAATCTGGGAGAAAAGATGGACAGAGCGGAAAGCCCGCGATTTGAAGGAAAGATAACCAGTAACAGGGAATGAACAATGAAATGAGGTTGGGATGAAGGAGGAAAAAACCACCGAGACCTTGTGACGCAGCAGATGAGGCACGATGATTGTTGAAACTGCGGAGGAGAGAGTTGCAACAAGTTCGCGGCACCACGGTATAGAGAAAGGAGGGGCTATCACCGCCGCGGGAGGGCCAGGGGGGTTACCTGGGCGAGGCAGATGATGGCGATGCGTCACGACTTGGAGACCCGACGAACCACGCGTTGGGCCTAGTAGGTGCCTAGGCCTCGTTTCGGTTAGCATGGGGGCTACTCCCGCAGCTGCTGAAAGCAAAATGGAGAGCTGGTCACGCTGGTTTGGATAGAGACCTTGTCACTGCAGACATGTATTCTGTCTGATTTCTGGGCGGCCATATAGCCCCTGCGACATTTCCAGTGAGCAAGTTGAGCATACAATTCTGACGAGGTCCACGAGCAATTCTCCGCCATCTCAGACCTGAAGCCTGCGCTAGCAGTTGTTGACGAATCACTCAAGCCTGAACCGAGGCATCGTCGGACTGCTTGGCTACATACAAAATATCTCACCTTCTAGTGCTCACTGAACCTGAAGACAAAGAACATTCTATCCTTCTTGTCATCAAGATAACGATACCCTAGCTGAAGTCTTCTCAACTGACGACGAGCTGAGATATCCCACGGCAACTGGTGGAATCCAAACAGGATGACGGCAGTCCAACTCCCATCGTTCACTAGCACGCCAGTTGAGCAGATTCCTTCGATTGTCTCCCGACTTCGGAACACATTCTACTCTCAGAAGACGCGCCCTGCCGACTTTCGAATCAAGCAGCTGCGTAAACTCTACTGGGCCATCGCCGACCACGAGAAAGAGCTCCTGGAGGCGCTAGCACGGGATTTGGGTAAAGGCTCTTTCGAAGCCTTCACTGGGGAGATCAATTGGACCCAAAATGATATTGTCTTCACGACCCAAAATCTAGAAAAATGGATGAAAGATGAGAAACCAGCGGATATCGCCCTCTCAAATCGCCTGGTCAACCCGAAGATCCGAAAGGATCCCCTGGGTGTGGTGCTCGTGATTGGGTAAGTAGTCTCTGTCCGTCTCGTATATTGTTCGTGCACTAAAACTTCATTCAGGGCTTTCAACTTCCCCGTAAACTTGTCCTTCGGTCCCATGATAGGAGCCATTGCGGCAGGAAATACTGTTGTTCTGAAACCCTCGGAGCAATCACCGAACAGTGCTGCAGTCATGCAAAAAATCATCGAGACAGCGCTCGATCCCGACTGTTACGCTTGTGTCCAAGGCGCTATCCCAGAGACTTCAGCGTTACTGGAGCAGAAGTGGGACAAAATCTTCTTTACTGGATCTGCCCGCACGGCCAAGATCATTGCCCAGGCTGCCGCAAAGGATTTGACTCCAGTTGCTCTAGAGTTGGGTGGACGGAATCCCGCAATCGTGACCAAGAAGGCAGATATGCGCCTCGTGGCTCGACGCCTACTGTGGTCCAAGACCATGAACGCAGGCCAGATTTGTATCAGCCAGAACTGCATTCTGGCGGACAGAGAGGTCGTCCCGACTCTGATTGCAGAGCTGAAGGCGGCCATGAAAGAATTCTTCCCGGAAGGAGCCAAGAAGAGCGCCGATTACTCCAGAATAGTCAATATCAACTCGTTCAACCGCATCAAGAAGATGCTCGACAATACGTCGGGCAGGATCGTCATTGGCGGAACCATGGATGCGGACCAGCTCTTCATTGAGCCGACTGTGATCGAGGTCACAGATCCCAAGGACTCGCTGCTAGTGGAAGAATCTTTTGGACCTCTTATCCCCATTTTACCCGTCGACAACTTGGATCAAGCAATCAGTATTGCCAATGAGCTCCATGAGACTCCATTGGGCGTGTATGCCTTTGGGTCGAAGTCAGAGACTGACAAAATTTTAGCAAGCACACGCTCTGGCGGTGCCAGCGTCAATGATGGCTTCTTTCACGGCATCATACCAAACTTACCATTCGGGGGTGTAGGCGACTCGGGCACTGGAGCGTACCGCGGCAAAGCTTCATTTGACTGCTTTACACATCATCGATCAATCACCTATACGCCAAGCTGGATGGAAAGTCTGTTGGCTGTGAGATACCCCCCGTTCGCTGGAACTGGCAAATTGGCCCAGTTCAACAAGATGGGACTACTCAAGCCTGACTTTGATCGAAACGGCAATCGGAAGATAGGCGTCGTGTGGTACTTGCTCACGCTGGGAGCTGGGAGTATATCTGGAGGTGCGTTTCGAGTTGCTTTGTTGGCGAGCATCTGCTTCGCCTTGAAGGCTTTCATGGATGGAAAAACACTCACGGTCTCCAAATGAAGGCAGGATTCATCGCGGCGGGACGGCTTGAATGGGTAATCATCTGCAAGGGATAGGCAAACATATCGAGTTGACTGATCTGACTCGGTCTTATATGCATCGCACTGTAATACTTAATGGCAGCCCCATTGTCAGCGGGGATGGTTTGGCACCAGACCTGACTGTGGGAGGGGTTTAATCAAGCTCTCGAGCATATGGCGGGCTGACGAGGCTGGCCTCCGTGCCTCCTTGCCTCCCCAGGCCTCCTCAGCTTGTGACTCGCAGCAGCTTTTAATGGCACCATGGGGCTTATCGATAAAGTGGGCACCGCCACAGCAAATCGAGCCACCACGGCCACAACTTTAGAGACTTAGGTCCCCTCGCAGGGTCCAAAGTGCGCGTCATGCACAGCATCAAGGCTGCCCCAACGAGGTTACCGAGCTGTTTCGTCCATCCCGCATGGGTTTCCCATACCACGATTATCATCTCCTGCCTGGGATTGGATGGTTTTTTCGCAGCCACCCAACTTCCACCGCCCCTGCAACCCATACGAGTATCTTGTTGGCATTATCCTCCCGGACAAAGGCCCTCGAGTCCTCTCCTCCAAAAACCTGACCTCTCATTCTTATCCATTTCACCACAAGACAGTCGCTCCTTGAAATCTAGTCCCTCCTAGAACCTCACCGGCGGTCAAAGTGCGGCACGCGAGTTTCTTTGCCGGAGCCTGCGACAGAAAAAGATCCCCAAGGCTCATATCATGACCTCTACCTCGAATACACCTTTTGCAACACCTGCGACCTCTAATCCCAACACCAGACCGCCTACTCCTACTCCGTCCGCCACTCCCACGGGAACCACTGTTCCTGCCGATAACGATCTCCGAGATGATAGCTCAAAGCTAAGGACATTCTTGGGCCTGTTGAAAAAGTACGTCATTGCTACAAACAAAATATCGCCAGCTTTCGATGGGGAGGAATGTCCCGGCCTGTTGAGGATGTTGTGCTGACTCCGCTGGGCATGCACCAGGTTTATCGGTGTCTCAGACATTGCAAATGTTCGCTTTTCATTGCCTTCGCAGTTGATAGAACCTATACCGAACCTAGGTATGTGCAAGCAGCTGGCGCTACGATGGAGCAGAAGTGTTGACAGCACACAGAATACTGGCACTACTTGGATAGGCCGGAGACTTTTGTCAGGTAAGGCTGCGTGGCTTGAGAGGCCTTTGTCATTCGCGAACGTGCTGACAAAGTCCCGCAGTATAGGAAGATCAGACGAGCCTCTTGGTCGCATGTTGGAAGTCCTACGCTTTTGGTTCACCAAAGATCTGGTTAGTGAACAGTTCTTCGCCGTCTGCTTGTGTCTGAGGCTAAAAGAACATGCGCAGAAATACGTGAAAGGCAAGCCTTGCAAACCCTATAATTCGACGCTGGGAGAATTCTTCAGGGTATGTTTTCACTTGTGATAGTTTCTTCCTATCTCTTAGCCAGAATGGCCCTTCTGCTATGGTGATATCCATCTAACGTCCCATCTAGTGTCACTGGGAAGTCAATTCCGACGCGCCACCTATATCTAATCCATCCAAAGCACCGCCTCAGCCTTCTGTCGATCCTACCGAGCCGCAGGCCAATGGCAACACCAGCGAGGAGCCGGTCCGAATATCCTTCCTCACCGAACAGACCTCACACCACCCGCCCGTGTCAGCATATTGGTATGAGTGCCCTTCTCGCGGCATCATTGCCCGAGGCTACGACCAAATATCTGCCAAGTTTACAGGCACATCTGTTCGTGTGATTCCGGGTGTCTACAACAGGGGGATTTTCGTTACCCTTACACAGCGGGACAATGAAGAATACCAACTCGTCCACCCGGCCGCTTCCCTCGGGGGTCTCCTTCGCGGCTCCCTGTACATCTCGGTCGCGGACACATGTTCTATAACCTGCCCCAAGACGAGGCTAAAATGTCTCCTTACATATGTGGAGGAATCCTGGTTTGGCAAGGCGCAGAACCGGGTCCATGGTCTTATTTTCCGCTATGACCCATCTGACGACAAATATACGCGGGTCAAGGACGTGCCCGAGAAGGATATCCTGGCGAAACTTGAAGGATGTTGGCAAGAACAAATCGTGTATACGATTCCGAACAGCGCAGCAGTCAAGGAGACGCCCAATATCGAACCAACTTCTGACAAGCAACTCCTCATTGACCTACAGCCTTTGTTCCCGGTGCCCAAATCCTGCCCCCCGCCGCACGAGCAACTGCCGCATGAGTCTCGCACATTCTGGGCCGAGGTTACCACCGCAATCAACGAAAAGCGCTACTCGGACGCAACAAGGATGAAACAGGATTTGGAGCAGGCCCAGCGAGACAAGGCTGCAAAGAGGAAAGACCTGAATGTCGAGTTTAAGCCGAGGTTCTTTACTTCGCCCACCGAGCCGAATGGGAAGCCTGAGTTGACCGAGTATGGGAAGGAGGTATTGGCCGGGCTGGAGAAGAAAGAATATGGGATTGACTTTGTGCCGGAGCCAGGGATTGATGCTGACACATAGAGTGTGAAAGCAAGGAGTTGCGATGATGTGCTCGGTACTGGGATGGTGAGAAAGAAGAGATGGACTAGACGGCGTATATCATCAACGATTGGGTCGACAGAGACATACGATAGTGTACATACAGGATAGGGAGCGACATTTGGATTGTGTTACTCCATGCTGATGCTCCAAAGAATGAACGACTGGATAAATATAGAGCGACGTCCAGCCAGGGAACCATCCAACCAACACGTCCGTGGCTGGATCAGGACCGGTCTTCCCCAGGTCTGAGGGCGTTTACAATACGTGCAGGCCTTGAGGAGCGGACCTGATATGATATGGGATTGGAATCTAGGGTTGCATTTTTAATGAATGATAGATCATCTGGTTTACATGTTAAAAAGGGTTGACATCCCCAAGCATGGTATCGATCACGGCGCGTGCCCGTAAGCATTGGGTCATTCCTACTTTTTGACTCGGTCTTGGGAAGTATAGAGGACTGAGTACATATATCACGTACTGTACTGTACTGTTCTTTGGACTCCCAGACCTAGAACGCAGCTTCACAAGGGAAGACAGAACGTTCAGTTCAGGTCAAAGAGACTGTTTCCGCAAGGACAAACCAAGGAGTTGCACGTTTCTTCGGTCACGACGTCATGTGTTTATCCTTCCCTCCATATCTTGTCAAGACTTACTTAGCTTTTAAGGTCCAAGGTCAGACTCCGAGGAAGATGGACGAAGTAAGCATTGGGTTCCTGTGGGTGTATACAAAACACTATGATGAAACGGGTCGACGGCAGTCATGTACAAGTAAGTAACCTCACTCGAACCAGAGCTAAACAAGCCTCAAAACCAACGTACAGAACATACTTGGTACTTACATACGTAATGATGGGAGTGGGCAGTCGATGAACTTGACTTGAATCCCTTTCTTCCAATGGAGTTGGGGACTTCGAACTCGTAGGAACAACCACAGTGAAGGAAGGGGTTGAAGGATTCATCAGCATCGGGTTTAGAGGTTGCTGAGATTGTTATTGTGGTTGTGGTAGTGGTTGTATCAACGACTGGAAAGAAAGAGTGCGGCGTCGCGTGGAGGAAAGAGAATATCCCTACATGTTTTGGTTGTCATTACAACACAACACGGGTTGCAGGGAAATTTCCCGCCGAATTGGGCGGTTGCTGCCGCTGCTCTAGGGAGTAATTTAGTTGATAGGTCTTTCCTTGCCAAGCAAGGTATCTTGGAAACAAACACGCACCCTCTTCTTTAAACAAACACGCACCCTCTTCTTTAAACAAACACGCACCGTCTTCTTTAAACAAATACGCACCGTCTTCTTTAAATAAATACGCACCATCTTCTTTAAACAAATACGTACCCTCACCTCATTGCTATGGCTGACGCTCCAAACCCCCTCGGTCCACAGCCGGACTTCAATGTCCTTAGCCAGCATTTGATTGCTGCCGCTAACGAAATCAACAAAGCCCAAAACCTACCTGCAATCACCGGCGGAGAAAGAATCCTAGTCGAACTCCAGCAAATGAGACAGGAATTCAGACTCGAACTCCAGCAAATGAGACAGGAATTCAGACAAGAAAATCGGCAAATGAGACAGGAATTGAGACAGGAATTGAGACAGGAAATCGGACAAGTCAGACAAGAAATGAGAGAGAGCACTATAGCTATTCGTCAAGACTTCGCTACTATAATGACCGCAAGGTACGTATTACTCTTCTATTTTCTAACATTACTATACTAATTCTACAGCAATCACAATAATGCAGCTCGAGTTCAGAATGCCTATCTTACGGATCCAGCCAACCCTCTTTTGCCATTCGTCAACCCCTTGACCGGTGCTATTATTGATGGATTCCCTACTGTGCCTAAAGATATTGTGCGAATGAATGAGCAAGAGCTAGATCGTGTCTCACAACAACTTGGTATACAAGCTCCTGTTGTTACTATGAGTCAGGCAGCGAAGAGAAGACAGCTGAGGGTCCACATCGGCTTGAAAGCAGAAAATGCATAAAGAGATTCAGATAGAACATTCCATGGAAGTCCCGTTTTCGCTTCATGATTGTTAGCCAGCCCCGTTTCTGGAGGCATCTCAGAGGGGGGCAGATACTGGGGAGTCAGGAACTGGAGGCATCTCAGAGGGGGGCAGATACTGGGGAGTCAGGAACTGGAGGCTGCTGGTGGCTGGTAAGGGCCCAGCGCAGCTTGGAGCGCCTTTGGCAATGGTTGCCCGTCTCAGCCAATCGTCCTCCCTCATCTGGTCCTCCTATTGAAGATTCATCACTGTACCTGTTCGGAACATACCATAGAATTCATCCACTATCACTGAAAAAGTTTGAACGGTCGAGGTTCTCTGTTCTGTAGGCATTCTCCTCGTAGCTCATTCAGTTCAACGATCAAAGAAACCAGTGTTGAAGCTCAAAGGTTCTGCTGCACTCTCCGATCCCGTAACGATATCATGGGCAACCATCATAATGAATGGGTCATCAGTCAACAAGGTCGGTTTCCTGTCCATAGCAAACCCCTCTGGACCTCGTACGTACGAGTCAGGCAAATCATGTCCATGTCCCACTACACCGAGTACTCGTGCCTTTTCACCTCGTATATGAGATTGCTCTCCTTGGTGCAAAGTGGCCGTGTTTCGGAGACACACACACGCACACACACGGGATGCAGATCCGAATACGACGGTAAGCGAGGTTTCCCCCCTGAGCCATTGTGAACGAATAATGCTGATACTAAGTACCTCGTACTCCTCATTCCTCCCGTGCCGTTGAAGCAGGAACGGGAAGTTCCTGCATATGCACCTCTAACAACCTTGGGCGCCTACGGCACAGGCCACATGCTTGTCGTCCTGCACCGCAAAGAAAAAGGAAGAAAAGGGGGTTGGTTCTAGAACAATCACGCATAAGAGGCCTTGCTCCAACGTCCCGTCCCTGCACGCGTCAAAGCTACGTTTCAAAACAGACAAACAGAACTCAAAACACATCCCCTGCACTATGAAACCGTCAACCAGTGGTGGTCAACCAGCGAAACTTGGGCCGTTGTTGTGCTGGCTGGCGTGCCTGGTCAGGGGAGCCAGGCGTTTAGCCAGCATAGGGACGGAGTAGTTTAGGACGACGCGGTACGCGCATTGTTCCCCTTGGAGTAATGGGATATCAAACGACAATTGGCTGGAGCAGAACGGCAAGGGCCCGACTCGTTCTCCGGATAAATGGAGCTTGCAGATCTGGAGCAGAAGGAAAAATCGGGTGGACTGATGTGGCGCCCTCGCCTCGTCTACATATGAGGGGGGAACGAAAGGATTTCGTCTTCTCGCCCAATTGCCTAAACCTGTCATCAAGGCTGAGAAAACGGCGCAGGTCTTGAAACGCTGGTGCCTTTTTTGTTGTTGTTCAAAAAAGGGGTTTCCCGTCGGGCAAAACCCTTTTCTCGTCTACACGCGATTCGTAGAGATCGTCGTCTTGTGCCGTTTCCGGTAATTGGGAGGATCATTAAGGTTGAGGTCGGGTCCTGGAACTCCTTGGAGAGTCGTGGATTTATTTGTCAGTTGTGGCTCGTAGGAATTTGATCTGCTCGTTCTGGGCAGAGTGGTCGAAGTGTTGTTATTCAATAATGGTTTGAGACGCAGGAGAAAGGGGGTTTCTGCAGCTCGAGGTGCCTATCGACACGGAACAACGAAGGATGGCAAGCCACGAGTACGAAAATGCTCCTACAGATGCAAGGGACAGCCGCTTCCTTTCTCTGAGCAAAACGTGGAAGGAACAAACCTGCCGAAAAAGACTGCTTCCCATGGCGCTACGAGCACGTTGTATCCCGCCGATGACACGTTCGTTTGGAGACTACGGGGAGCATTCGGCCACGCATTCCTCGTACGAGTACTGCGCTGGAGACCAGGGTTGATCGGCGTGTGGGTCATTATCCATCCTCGGCGAGCACACGGTTCAGCTGAAATCAATTGTCACCCGTGATGGTTGAAGAGACCACTTCCTCAAGGACAAAGTGGAAATTGGAGACCCGGCGAGCCGGTAGAGGGACAAAAGTGGTGACAATGGGAGACTCGTAAATCTTGAATAATAATTCGCTGTGATCCGCAATTCAACCGGGGTAGCATGCACAGTGTACGAGTAGGTATGGAGAGTTTCTGAGAATCGGTGAGCATATTGCACGGAATACTCGGTTCTCATGTGTTATCATATAGCTCATCCACCATCAGCCGCACTCCAGGATCTGCTTCCTTCGACAAGGATCCTCGAAAGATTTGTCGTATTTCTTTGGTAATCATCGAAAGACGTTATTGACCGACAGGTGACAGTTGCTCCAAGACTAACGCCACGGGTTTTCCAGCCACAGAGCGATTATACCCGAAGATTACTCGATACAGGGATTTTTCTGACTCAAGCCACAGCGGACCCCTGATGCTCCATCGTGGCGAGTGTCGCGAAAGTACCTTTTAGAGTGGCTGATGGGGCAAATCCTTCCCGCACTTCTTCGGACTTTGCTTCGCACCAAAGCAGATAGAGTAAGCTACAGAAATGGATCGAAAGGGTGGTCAGAAAAGAAGAAGAAAAGAGGACACGGATCGAACGGTGATCTGCATCAAGGCCCCGGAGTTTATCAGGATGTCGCAAAACACTTTACATCCAGCGTGAGATTGTCCGATGAACCACAGAAGGGTATGTAGGTGTTGTACTTGGCAAAGAGGCAGAAATCGGGGGGGGGGAGGGGGGACCAACTCGTTCCTGCAGTAGATCTTCTCAGTTGGACACGGCGCTCGCGACACCTGGATACCCTGTTACCCTGGTGTTGATTGCACAATCGTTCATCATCGCCAAATGCTTTTTGTGCGTCACAGATGGTCCCCGAAACGGGTTGCAACTTTTGTGATACTCGGTGAAGACCCTCGGGCACTACCAGACTCCTGATGAGGTTCTCGGGCCTGGTGTTCCTGCTGGCCTGTGGTTCCCTGCCAATGAGTTGTGTTCTGATGATCACAGTGATTACAGAGTGGCCATCCATTCAATGGTTGCCATCTCCCGAGGATTGCAAAAGACGTCGCCCAAGCCGCCGTCCCCAGGATATTCCTTGACTCCTCTTAGTGCGACAGAGTGACGGCATCAACGGGGTGGAGTCCTCGTAGAAAAAATACTGCGAGTAGGTTGGGGGGATCGGAAGACGGAGAATTGGGCATGCGATCGGGGAGTCGCGAGGTTGCAATTCCACCAAACATAAGCCGAGCTTGCCATGCCAGGTACGGAGATGATCGTCCTCTAAGATACAGGATACAGGTACGAAAGACTATAGTGAGCGCGTTCCTGTTGCTCGGCGGTCAAACAGCATGTGGTTTGTCCAAGCATCAAACTGGTGAATGTGCACCACTACTCGAACTTGATGGGCAAGGACCACCAACTGAGGACTTCGCTTCTGGTGTTCGGTGTTTTAGTGCTCAGGTAAGGCAGACTCGTCTAAACAGCATGCATGCTATTCCTGAACGGGTTAGGTGATCACTTTTGGACCACCAGGGGTGGACCCTTGTGGGTGAGGCTTGGCCGGTATCTGGTTGGCCATTGTTTCACGCTAGTCCTCTAGTGGTATGATCATAGTCTTTAGATAGTAGCAACGGTCTTAGTTTTGGGCTTAGTGTGATCGGCCTGCGCCGCACTCGCGATAGAAACCGCTAAGCGTGTGGACGTTCGTGCTATTCAAGGATGACGGCCACCCTCCTCGAGCCCAATCAGCGACAGTCTCCGCTTGTTGGCCTCAGGTACCAGTTTCCACAACTCTGCTGTGCATCTCTCTCACACGAACATTTCGAACCAGCATCTGACCGGGTCCATCTCACCACTTGCTGCACCCGCCTGGAGCTAAGACCTCGAGGATGACGGGTTTAGGAGGCTGTGACTGGCGGGTAGGCTCATGCTAGCCTCCGTCCTGCCGTTACACGATCCACCCGCTCGGTCCCCCCTCCTCCCAAAAGTTCCCATGATTGCCCTCCTAACCCTTTCCCGGCCTCGTGGAAAAGGGTACCTTTACTCTACGAGTACGAGTACCACCAACCCTGACACCCCTTCTGGCGTTTCCTGTTAGCAGGACGGAGCCCCCCCTACCAGCCCAAGTACGAGTAGGCTTCCGTCCTAGTCAGCACCATCCACTGCCCTTTGGATGCGCTGTCCAATCGCTTCTCCGACGTGCCTTGATCAGACGCTCTATATTTTGACGGGGACTGGCCATGCTTGGCCCAAAAGCCTCATGCAAAGGACACAGCCGCTCCGCTCTCGGCCGTTCTATTGGCGCAGGAGGCTCTATACCTCGCTTGCCTCTCTCTTACACCCGCCTCTCCCAAAAGTTATGGTACTGTAGCTAATTTCACCCTGGCTCCTGCGTCCCAATTCATTTCCATGCTTTCCACTTTGGAACCACTTTCTGCTCGTCTTTTTTTTCCTTCTAGCATTCCCTTTAGGTGTCTGGTCTCCATTCTTGGGGACAAGAATAACATCCGGCCTATCTGGTCCTACACCTGGGACCTGCCCTCGCCCCGCCACGTGCCTCCGGCCTCCCATAGACAACTCAGCCCTGCCGATAGGTTGTGGGAAACTCTCTAATCCTCCTAGCCTCTCCCCTTCTTTCCACCATCAAGTCGTCATTTCCCTCATCACACCTACCCTCCCCCTCCAGAAAACCCATGCAAACGTCTCCATTTCCTCAAACAAGCTTAATCTTTACTTGAGGCTCAGAAGGGGGCGGAGGCTTCCAAGCATTTCAGACGACTCCACCGTGAAACATTTGGCGCAGGCCTCTTGGTCACTTCGTATACTCTTATATCTTCTATACAATATCCTTTTTCTCCATCATGGCCCCAAAACAGCGTTCCCAAACTCCTCGACAACCTGGCGTCGCCAACTCCTCCGAGTCAATCCTTCACCACCCGCAGGCTACGACTACACTCTTTTCAGAAGACGAACCAGCCCACGACCGCCGCCGCCGCCGGCAGAGAGATAGTCCGCGTCCCGCTTC